TGTTAGCTTTGCTTGAATTAATAGAGAGTTGGGCTGTGCCATACAATCTGCTGAAGTGGTAACTGGAGTTTACTCTGACAAATCTGATAAATACTGAAGTCAGTTTTATTTTTTCAGGAAATTTAGCAGGACATAGGATGTCACAGGTCTATTTATACTTGTTCCTATTTCACTATCACTTTCTTTTGGATAAGAGATGCTTTAAAAAAAGCACTTGAAGTCCACTGTAAGTATTTCATATTCTGCTTTACACTGCCTTGACAGAATGTAAAATATTTTTCCTCTAGATTCCAAATCAAGAAGAGGAGACCAAAATTCTCCTGGGCCTGCCTCCTGACAGAATTGGACATGGAACATTTCTCAACTCCACAGCAACAGGTTCAGAAGAGTTAGTGTCAACTGTTCGACAGAACCGGATACCTATTGGTAAGGAAAAAAATATTAACAATGGCTCGATCTCTAAATTTCAGAATGGCACGTGGACTGCTGATCTAGTGACTCCAGTTTGTCTTGGACCAGATGTGGCTTAGGCAAACATGGCAGGGAGAATTGCCCATCAGGGTACACTTGTAATGCTTTGGGGATTTTTGATGTGTTTATGGCAGCAGACAATTGGTATCTCAGATGAAAACAAAACTAAATTATAACTTATAGTTACTGTGCAAGACTGGTGATTCTATATGTGGTTTGCAAGCTCCCTAACTCTTACACCCTCTAGAAATTGATTGCCAAATTTTCTTCAGAAGAAGTTACCAAAGAAGCAATTAGAAAATAGAGGAAACAACAGTAGCTGATTTTAATTTTTAGTCAGGAACAGAAATAAGTCAATTAACATGTCAAAAACATGTCTCTCATTTTGATATATATCCTAATTTCTCTTTTTTTTTTTTCCATAGAACTTTGTGTGACATCAAACATTAAATCTCAGACAGTGCCTTCCTGTGGCAAACATCATTTTGGATACTGGTACAGCATGGGCCATCCTGCAGTGCTCTGTGTAAGTTTTTTTGATATTAACCGTGTATTAAGGCAAAGAGCCAAACTAATGTGAAGTTGGAGAAGCATTTCTGCTTTTATGGATCAGAGCTTACTTACAGATTCTGACCTTGTAGCAAATCATTCACTTTTAGGAAATCAGAATGTTCAGTCTGAGAAATGCTTGTAATACAAACAGGAAATGATAATTAATACCTCTCTTGGTTCTGTTGTAAAGTCAGGTCTTTTTTCTGTGTGGATAAGGTGATCAGCTATACGTGCAATGACCTTCATATCTGTTTGCATACTGACATCTTTCTCTTAAAATAGACAGTCCAGTGCTTGCACACACACCTGTGTGTACCAGGGGGTTCATTGTGTGGGGTGAGAGTTCTTGTGTTCTCTTGACAGCTCGTTAAGGTCCTTAAACACTGAGGTGTTAAGTACTTATGCTACCATTTGGCAGAATTTTACTATCTTCCTGTTGTTTTATCTTCCTGTAGCATTGTCCATGTGTGTGTATATAAATATAATAGTGTTGTGCTTATTATTAAAATTAGCCTCAATCCTTTATTGTGTAAAGGGTCAGAGAGTTTCTTCCCTGGAGATGCAGAACACAGATTATACTCTAGTTCCCAGATCTAAGGAAAGAGAAAAGAGGAATAAGGAGACCTGCGCATAACTTGAATGTATGCAGCATTTGATAGCCATCTTTTCAGCAATTTTAATAGGGAATCCTGTTTTCTTGATAAATTATGCCATCATTTTAAGAAGTTTTCTTATATGTTTAAACAGTTAATTCATTTTGAGTGAAAATAGGGCAAATAGAGATGGAATAATTATGCACAGATGAAAGAACTGTGGAATAAAATATGAGATAGGAAGATAAAACTGGTTTGTATGTAGAGAAAGAGACCTTTTTGATGTAGAGAAACTAATTTAACCTTTTTTTTCTTTTCTTTCAATGTAACTCCAGACTGATGATAAAGGCATCTTTGCAACCGAACTATCACAAGAGTATGAGGTGGTTGCAAAAACATTTAATTTGACTCGATCACAAATGTGGGATCTTTCCTATGAATCAATCAACTATATTTTTGCTTCAAATGCAGTGAAATCCAAGCTCAGGGAACAATGGTGTAAACTGAAGCCAGCTCTGTTTGATTAATCGAATTGTTGTTCTAAACAGCTCGGGTGTATTAGGTGAGTTAATAACCATTTTTTACTGAAGACCCTATGTTTTTTTCAGACTTTGGGGTTATAAACCCAGCCAGAAACTGCTTGTGTAAATTGAAGATGATGGGAATGCATCCTTTGTTAGTGGGGACAGAAGTAAATATTCTTTTATAGTTGGGAGGGGCTCTCAACCAGTGACCAAAACTCCAAATGTGTTGTCACATTGTTTCTCTTCAGCTGATATGCCATTTTAAAAAAAATACTTAGTTGAAATATGTCATAATATAAATATTGGAGAGCTGGAACAAAATGAAGGCATGCATGGCTGTTCGTGTTTCAAGTGTCTCTCTTGGCAGCGTTTCTCCAAGCAGTTTTGGATGTGTAGTGCATGTATCTGGGGGTTGTACTGGTTTTGGGTTTTGAGCAGTTAGTTGAATATGAAGACAGAAACAAACTCAGGGAGAGTGAAATGTTCGTCTCTGTTTTTATTGCTGTACATGTATGACTGAAGCTGCTGTGGATTGTGTAGCACATGGGGGTCCCTGCTGGTGCTCTAAGCAGTGGTGGCATTCAGGCAGTTGAGAATCTTGAACGCCTTTGGTAACTGAGCTACTTGTACGAAGTGATCTCATTCTTAAAATGCTTTTTAGAGTTGCTGTTTGTTGTGTTAAAAAAAAAGCAATAAAAATATCCTCAACCTCTATGGTTTTGAAACCACCCATTCGAGATGTGGATGTGCATGTTTGAGCTATTCGGAAGAGAAGCAGGATTCCCTGGGGGTGAGTCCCTGGAGCAGATGAGCTGCCTGCCAGCCACAAAACTGCAACCAGGGCTCCCTGCCTTCGGCAGCAAAAGGTTTCACTGTGCCCTCCCTGTGCACTTGTGTGTGTGTTTTGGTACTGAGAGTTCAGAATGTTTCTGAACATGCACATGCAGCAGTATCCAACACTGAGCATTGCTGGCTAGTGCAGGAAGTATCTGGAGAGAAGGTGTTCCCTACTTGCAGTCCTTTTACATTGATTAATTAAACAAGCAAACGTTCTGGGCTCCATGAGGAGTACTGAATGTGTGTCTAATGCTACAAAAGCTGTTCATAATACAGTCAGTATAACGTAGCTCGGGCTCCTAAGTGGCAATAAGGTTGGGGAGAAGGACAGCAAAGAAGTTGGTATGCCTGTGTGTCTACTGGAGGTTTCCACAGAATGTTTTCCAAGATGAAAACACCTTCCTTTTGGAGATTTCCTTTGGGAAATTATGTGGAACAACCCTGTGGGTTTATGTATTATCTGAACCAGAATAAGACCATGTGTTGACTTCCTCTCTATAAGCACTACTTTAAATTACTTTCCAAGTGGTTTCACTGGTGACATTATCATTTGCTGTTTGATCATGCTTATCTGTATTTTCTTTTAACAAAAATAATTACCATGGTAAGTATATTTTTTCTTTCTTATTAAAAGCTCTCTGAAGACAGGTGGAGCAGCTTTCTGGAATTTTATAGTTAGTCATCTCAAATAAGATGGCATTCTCCTATAAGTTTTATTGTATTTCATAGCTCATGGCCTTCTAATAACTCCTCAGTAACACAGTATTTGATTTATTATTGAAGAAAAACTGTAGACTTCCTATTTACTTACTAAGGAATCATCCTCAGTGTTCATTGTATCATGTGTAAAATTTTCTAAAGCAAAATAAGACTCATCATTAGTGTCCGAGACTTTTAGTTCCAAACCGCTAGTGTTATATGGAAGTAAGATGGATTTGTAAGGTTTTTGTGTGGAATGTGACATGTAGAAGTGTTAATTCCCAGAGCATAGCCCAGGTATATGCTGATATTTTCTACTTCCTTGTTTTCCTGCAAGTATACAATATCTTACAGATTTTTTAACAATATGGATTATTACATATAATTCCTAACATTTCTATTTAATTTACTTCTGTGTGTCTTCACGGTAGTGCCTTGCATCAGCTGTAGTGCTGCCCCCAAATAGTTTGGTATACGATGGCACATGGATGCTACATAGTTTTATAATTAAAAAAAACCAACCAGCTTCCCTGATTATTCCTGACATTTGGATATAGTGAACCAGTGCTGTTGTATGTAATCTGGAGTTCTGGAATCCCTCTTCTGAAGATATACCCTGTAACTAAGATATTTGCAGGTGATTTAAAAAAATACCACTTAGTATTTAACAGTATTTATAGTGTCTTGGTAATGGGAGTTAGGAGGTAACTTGGACGATTCCATTTGTGTGCAGTAAAAGAACCAGGAATGTATGCGGGTGGATGAGGAACAACAGACAGAATCAGGATTTCTGTACAAATTACTCTTAACTGTTACTGAGGTTGTTTACACTGCAGAAGTGTTATCCTTAGGAAATTGGACAGGATGTGGACTTTTGGAATGAAGAATCACCATCCAATGAGTGAACTTTGTCGTGCACAGTTCCCAAGATGTTAGAACCTGAAACCTTCTTACTGTTTCTGGGCTAGTTTTTCAGAGTTTAACTATTATAAGTAAAACTGCAGTTTCCTTCTTTGGCATCAGGTAGGATTATAGTTAATTTTAATTTAAACACTTCTTGCTGAGCCTGTTAAATCCTGAGTTAGCAGTGACCACTGTTTAGTTTATAATATTATATAAAAATGAGTGTGACTGACACACAGTCACAGTGAAGCATCACCACAGAATTAACCATCAGTAGTGGGGCAGAGGGCATTTTTTTCCTTGAATGCAATGGAAATTTTGCTTAACTACTGCTAGAATTACATGGTATAAGATGAGGTTTAAGTTATCTATTCAGGTGCAACTCAAATTATTTCTAAAGTAAACAAAATAGATCTAGACAGAGTTAATATTTTTTTTTATTTCCATCTGATTATATAAGAGAACATTTACAGAGCAGTCTCCAATGCTCAGTCTTTACTCACATCATATGAAAATACACACTGGTCTTACTAAAAAATACTGCTTTGGCAATGTACATGAGAACAAATACTCACTGTGGCTCAACTTCCTCAATTCCTTTTTGAGGCAAACAGAAAGTCTTCAAAACCTGAGCTCTCTATGATGAGACTGGTAACATACCACCCTTCTCATATTACAGCCACTAAACTGTAAGTATTTACACACTGCTCTTCAGGATCCTAGCTCTGCAAATTATGTACTTACATGAATGATTTATATGTCTGTTTGAATGTTTAGACATTTCAAAATAATACATTAAAGAAATGGATGCAGGTAAGAGCAGTGCTCTAGCGAAGTGATTCAGCTGATTAAAAGGCTGGCACATCCCTCTTGTGAGGCCTAGAGAGCAGGCACTGGTTAGACTGGAGAAGAGAGGGCTCTGGGGGCAGATCTCATCAGTTTTTTAAATACCTCATAGGAAGCAGTAAAGAACACAGAACTAGGCACTTCTCAGCGATACGCAGTAACAGGAAAAGGGGCACAAACTGGAACATAGAAATTGCACCTGAATGTAAAGAAACACTTTTGTACTGTGTGGGTGGTTGAACATGGAAACACATCATCCAGACAGGCAGGGAAGTCTCTGTCTTGACAAATGCTCAAACCACTCAGTGACTTCTTGTAGCTTGAGACAAGGAGGTGGACTGGGCAATCTCCAGAGATGCCTTCCAACCTCACCTGTTCTGTGGAGAAAATATACAAATATACAAATGATAAAGTCTCTATATGAATACAAAAGCTTCTAAAATTAAATACTGACTTAGTCATTCAAGTGAAAGTTTTTTACCAGGCTTGGTCATCAGCAGCTGGCTGACTTGTTGAGCCTGTTTTTAAAGAAGGGTTTATTCCCTCTTCATAGCCTTCCTTCTTTCGCAAAAATTGTGGAATCCCTTGGTGCCATCAGGACCTTTAGGCAGCCTCAGTACCCCAACAGGGAGACCGTCTGCATTTTGTATTTTCTGAACCAACATGGGACTGCTGGTGGAACTCTTCTCTTGTGTGAGAGTGTGGGATTTTCTTCTCTGTACCCAGGGGCTCCCGGAAGGGGTGATGCTGCTATCTGAGGAATAATCTGTACATTTCCTTGGAATTTCAGGGCTAGTGCTTGGGTTAAGCTTACTGTCTTCAGCCAGTGGAGATTTTTTTGTTACTTTTCTTAGTGAAGATGGACTGTTCCGAGGGCTTGATCTGGGTGACACATTAGGGCTCAAATGGTTATTTGGATGAATGTTTGGGCTCAAATTACTCACAATATTTGTTGCAGTACATTTGCGCCCTGACAATGGTGATGTAGGATTGCTCTCTGGGTCAGAAGAGCTGTTTGCTGAAGATTCATCACCAACAAACTGAAGTTCCTCCACTCTCTTATTAAGCGATCGAGTCTTCTTAAGACCTTTATCATGGTTCTTGTCTTTGGGAACTTTTTTCTTTGGTGGTTTCATTCCTATGAGGACAGCTTTCATGCCAGTCTCTTTCTTTTCAGTGCACATTGAATCATGAGCACGTATGGCAGCATCTACTTCTTCAAATTCTATAATTGCACATTCCTGAGTTCCCAGCTGGGTGTACCGGTTGCTGACCCTCCTGATATCAGGTGGTAGGTCTCTGCCAGGCTTGAGAATACGAACTGATGAAATGACACCAAAATTTACAAAGGCTTTGAGGAGATGCTCCATTATCCTTTCTTGCATGCATCCATTTTGTTGCTTATTAAGAGCCTGCAGCTCAGAAATCATGTGGATGTCATACACCAGTAGCATCCTGGTGGGGACATTTTCAATTGGAAACAGTGGAACTGGAGTATTTCTTCGCACCTTTTTGTTGTCATCGTTGAGCTCGAGAGTGTCCGAGTACTTCAGTGCGTAGGCCGTGGTTCTCCAGTCTCGGGTAAGGTGTTTCACCTTGGAGACAGACACAGGTTAAACACCACAACTGATCAAACCCGCTCAGACTATTTACAGGATTTTAAGGCAGATGCAGGCTCCAGTCTACAAACAGAAAGGGAGATTTAAGTTTCATGTAGTTAAGTTTCAGACTTGGTGAGAAAGTACACAGTTTTCCTTCTATAATGGGCCTCAGTGAGCTCCTGTAAAGCTCATGGTCTGCTGGATGTAATGGAAACAGGAACTGACACTAAAGCTCAAATTGGAAATTGTTACTGTACCTGAAAGCCTGCTCTAGGGATGCTTGATCATTCCACATGTAGGTCTGAACCATGATCAAAATGTGTGTTGTTCTGGCAGGTTTATTTTGTTAAATTTGCCAAGCAAGAAGTTTTGTCAAGTTTAGGACTTCATTGTATTGAACTACTTTTCTTCCCTCAAAACTCGCAGTTTAAAAAACACCTCAAACTTCTCCATTTCCTTTAAGTGGTTTATCTATCACCAAAGTAATGTTTGAAGTGGTCTGAAGGAGCCAGGAGTGCTTCAGCTTCTAGACTGAAAAACTCTGCAAACTCTTAAGTGTAGAATCTTGGCAAAGTATTTCTGTTGCAATTTTAAAAATTGGTTACGTACGCATATTTACATGATGTTCCTAATGTAAGAAGAAAAAATAAGAGATCTCACCTTTAAGTGACTTCAGTTATCAGATACTTTATACTAGTCTTAATTTTTGAATCTCTGTACAATTGCAAAGATCAGATTCACCATCCCTTCCAGAGACAGGAACATAACTTTACTACAAGGATTACTCAGCTACTCATGAGTAGTTGACATAAAAATTAATTTTATCTGATGTTCTCTCCCAGAATGATAATTTAAAAGCACACATGTTTTTAAGCCTATGAATTCCCTAGCCAATCATGAGTTCAGCTATTAAAGTTCTGGATGAGAACAAACCTAACCATCACAGTAAAACAAAATCAACCCATTAGAGAGGAAGATAGAGACTGTAAAATCGCCTCTATAAAATGTAATTTTCATCTCTCCTAATGTTTTTAGATGCATCAGGCTTACATGAGGCACTTCAAGACTTAAAATGATAGCTTACCTTCTTAAAAGAAGTGAGGAGTTTAACACTGACATAACCCATCTTATTTCTTCTCACATGCTTCAGGAGGAAGGCGTCTTTCTCAAGGTTTTCATCTGAGAAGTAGTATTCAATCTGTGCTATTAATTTCTGGATCAGGTCATTTTCTGGTGGTTTCCAGTTCTGCTCAGAGTCGTCATCATTTTCCCCACCACTGGAAAATAATTAAATCTTATCAACAGATCATCTTATATTAGCAGATTCAAATAGTCTTTCAAAAGGAAAAGACATGACCATTATACCAATTGGTATTGCTGCTTCTAACTTACTTTATACATGGGCACTGAACAGTTAACCACCCATCTATCTGGGGCAGCTGGCCAGCTCAGAGGAGGAAGCCTTCCAGTTGGCATAAGGAGTCAAGTTCCTGAGCTCATCCCAAAAGCTGATCTCAGTGTAGAGCAAGCAGACATACACACTAACATCTTGAAAACACTCTGCCAACTCAAAACTGAACCAAAACATAAAATGAAGGTGCACAGGTACTATACAAAGTTCCTCCAGTGACAGTGTTTTATTTTTTAGTAAGAAGCTATTAAACATAGGCTTGACCTTTATGTTCTTAATGGGTAGTATCATATATCAGAGGATCAATACCCCAATGTGATGCAGTCACGATTTCTCAAGCCTCCTGCCTACATGAATGCAGGAGCTGGAATCCAGAGAGTAAACAGGACTGACAGGAGTGTTGCACTTCTAACAGGTCACTTCCAGAGTGACAGAGTAACATAACTAGCAGTTTTCCATAAAGGCTTACCTTGCCTTTATGTGTGGTAGCAGCTCATGTATCTCAGGAAGTCATTCTCATTTTTTCTCTCCTTCCCATCATAGTGTCTAGGTATCTGTGCAAAATGGAGCACTACTGGGCATCCTATCCCAAAAAGAGATACTGCAACCGTGAGTTTAAGAATCTTCTTGTCATGCACAGTTACAGCAACATGTTTGTTGCTGAAATCACAATTTAAATGGTTATTTCCATCTATAATTGAGGTACATGGCTCACCCACAGGCGACTCTAATGCACAAGTCTGTCTTAAGCCAGAGTAATTTTTTAAAGCTGTAAGTAGTCCAGTTTTAACAAAACTAGGACCATCATGAAAGTTTCTGTGAAAAAAATAAAACCACCCCCTAAGTACCTTAGATCCTATTATTAGATCCATTAGATCCATTTATTACTTCAGTCTCCCACATATCTCAGCAACAAAAAAGAAGCCATGTATTTGCCCAAGATTTTCTTAAATGGGTTTTGCAGAGCTTCTGAAATCACTAGGAAAGGGAGCAGGCATCACACTGGAGTCCCCAGAGGCTGATGTGGCAGGGAGGATGCAGCCTTGCTGAATCACCCTGCCTTGAGACAGCTCTGTCCTGGAGATGAACTGGAGGCTATGAGCAGCACACTGCCTCGGCAGATCCTTATTGTATGTCTGAAGGTCATGTTTAGGTCAGTGGGCTCTGCACAGGGACCATGCTCCCACCTGTGGCAGCTACAGCAGTTCTCTGGGACCTGGCTGTTTGAAGCTTACAGTCTATTTACTTCTTATGGCTCTTCTGATGATAGGGCAGCACATCATGGCACATATGTGGATACTTGCAAGATCTGAGAAGTCTCACTGCTAAAATCGTGGTAGCCATTAATGGGGTACAGTTTGAAGGAAGGAGGAGTGAGAGATCACTTGGCAATGCCTGAAGTAGAGGATAATAGATGAAGTTATGATTGGGATAGTAAAAATATTAGATGGCCAGCTGGGGGTGCTGGTTTCATTAATGATATTCCCTTACCCCACTACTCGTTCTTCATTCACTAGCAATTCAGAATTAATGTGAACAAAAGAACCTTGGAACATTTCAGCCTTTTATACATATCCACACTCTGCTAGGAAAAGCTTACCTTCAGTTCAGGATGGGGCTGTTCTAGAGAATATATTAGCACAGACATTTGCAGGTGTTTGGATGGAAACAAAAAGGGGCATCATGCCTTAGAAAACAATAAAAATGAACTGCATGTTTGCAGTGACCAGTGAGTTTGCAACACACTGAATCAGAGCAAAACAGGCCGCATTTCACCTCTCACATATTGGTCACAGTCTGATCTATATATGACAGTATTTGGCAGACAGCTTTTACAAAATCTCATGGGCTCTTACAACACCCCTCACTAAGTGCTGTATGGAAATGCCACCTACAGCAAATGCAGAAATTTGTAACTAGCTCCATATTAATTTATAGTAATGAAACATTATCTTTTAGACTGACAACATCACAAAAACATTCACCTTTCAAACTCAGATTCTTCCTGTGTCTGCATCCAAAATAAACTAGAGTAAAAATAGCTTTACTTCATGCACGTGAGAACTACCTGTTTGTTATCAACAGTCTGGAGATGGTTCTGAAGCACCTGGAAGCTAAAAGGCTGAGGACTGAATGTCACAAATACCCAGAGATTTCCCAAAGAACGGTGGGGCTTGACCATTGGAGAAACGGCTTTCATTTCGTAAGTNGGGGGGGGTGGTAAGAATCCAAATTGTCTACTAGCTTCACCTGGAGAGTGAGATGTCTCATTCCCAGCGGTTTTAGACCATCACTAATATTTTTCAAAAGGCTTGTAAATAATTTCCTATCAAATAAATAAGTGGCATTTAAGGGTAGCTATTGTGTGTTATAAAGCTTGAAAAAATAACCACCCTTTTTTCTAGTCTAGGCCAGGGCTAGAAGCTCTTACACAAGTAATACTATCACAGATAACATATGTAAATAATTTCCTAAAATTAAGAATTCAGTAATTAGAATGCAACACTGTAGACTGCTGTAGATATTTATAAAACCAATAGTTCCATATTGTGGAAAAACTAAGCAGACTCAGCTTAAACATCCTAATTGTGCCTAGCTGTGTTCAGCTCCTATTTCTGTAGTTGAAAATTTTGGCAGCTGCAAAAAATTTTCCCTCCCCAACTAGCCCTCTGTAATTTCAAATAATACACTGCAATTCCTTCTGAATCAGTGCTAGGATATGAAGTTCGAGAATCAATTAGAAACAACAGATCTACAAACAGAATACTGGATTCCTTGCTACTGTACATAAATCTTTAGATGATAATTTATTACTGCGTCTGCAGCTTTAGTACAAATCATAAGATGAACTACAACTAACGAGCATTGTCTCTGCAGTTTTCTGGCACAAAAATACTGGATGTGCCTTTTACTAGTAAGATATCCTTGTAGGCATCAAAGCAATTTCAGGCACCATTAGTAATTCCTACAGCACTACTGGCATTATCAAACAGTAAAACGCAGAGTGTGAAGTGGCAGTTTTTTCTGCATTCCTAATGGCCTTGATTTGGTGTCTAGTCAGCTTGTTTCCAAGGCCATGACACCGGTCTCTCTGTCCGTGTCTTAAATATCTAAGGAGATAACTACGTCTGGGTAATTAAAAAAAAAAAAAAAAACGAGTCCATGCAATAAAAACAAACAGACAAAAACAAACAAACAAAACGCCCAAAACAAAAACAAACAAAACAAACAAACCCCCAAACCAACTAACCAAACAAAAAGAAACAAAAACACAACCAAAAAACCAAGCACAACAACAACTAACCCTCAAAACCCTTTCTGTAAAAGATAGTGAAGTGGCATGGGGAAGCCGCGGCCCCGGCCCCAGCCGCTCCCCCGGGGACGAAGAAGCCGCAGTCTGGGCGGAGCCATCGGTTCCCGGACAGCTCCCGCCCGGGTGTCTCCTCGCTGGGGGGTTCCCGTCTCCCACCCGCCCCCCTCAGCGTTGCATCAGCCGCGGCCGCACCGTTACGTGGTGTCCGCGGCTGCCCCGCTCCTCGCCCCGCACGGCTCCGCCCGGGGCGCCGCCGGAACCCCCTTCCCGGGGGGTTCACCTGGAGCGCCCGCACTGCCCCGAGTCCTCTTCGCTGCAGCTGGGGCAAAGCGCTCCGCCGCCCCCCTGCTCCTCCTCCTCTTCCTCCTCCTCCCGCTCTTCCTCCTCCGCGGCTGCCTGCACGGCCACTCGGATCTGCACGGGGCCGCTCCCCGCTGCCAGTTCCTGCTGAGCCATGACCAGGCTCAGCCCGCCGCGACAGCAGCGCTGCCCGCGGCCGCGACAGCCGCCCTTCCTCCGCTCCTGTCCCCTCCCGCTGGGGCGGCGCTCCCGGCTCCACTCCCCCGGCGCGGCAGCGGGAGGGTCGGACCCTCCTCCGGCGGTGCTGCTCCCGGCCCAGCCGGGCGCTGAAGTGCCCTTCTAATCGACGGCTCCATCGAGATTGCTTTTATTTCATCAGAAAACAACGGGCTCCTCGCCAAAGAGCAACGTCTCAGCTTCTCGTCCCCTGGTACAACCTTGAGGCCGAGTCGCTGCGCCCCGACCAGAGCGTTGCGTCTTACGAGATTCAGAAAGGTTTCACTGGAGTAAGTGTGGTCTAAATGCCGAGGATGAGATTTGAGTAAGAAACATGAGTGAACAAGGTCACGATTGGTTGTTCTTGTAGAGCAGTCTGCTCTATAATTCTGTATGTTATTTACACAGAATAAAAACATTCCCCTTTAAGAACTAATTAAAATAGAAGGCCTTTTTCTGAAACACTTAGAGAGTGGTTATTTTGAACTTAAGACTATTGCACTTTCTTTCAGTGGACTGTTTCAGCAACTAAAGTGAAGTTAACATTCATGTTCTGAAGATTAGAATCAAAAACTTTTCAGTTTCCATGTAAATATTCATTCTTCACTCAGGGAAGATCTTTTTTTCAGTAGTGTCTAGACCTAAACTGCTAAATATAGCTTGGATCTTGATGCCACTTTGTGGTATCTTTGTTTTTGTCTGTATTGCTTCAATGTTTTCTTAAAAATTTGAATGGACGAAAAGTGAGGCTGCACTTCGGGCCAGTTCTTCTTATCCATATGACAAACAGTCCTCATGAGTCAGGTTTACTGGCACGGACACATCCTGAGACTGCTCTGCTGTAAACATGTGTGAGACCCAAGGGAAGCTCCACACACACCAATATGATGTTCAGAAGCTCCATCTTTATTGGAAATTACACTTTTATACAGTTCAATAACCACCACATATTTGACTACTTAACCTATTATTGGTCACATACACAAAACACACACTGTTCA